CGCGGACGTTGCCGTCCGTAACGGTCTGTTCCCGGCGCCGCGGCCGTTGGCGGCCGTTGGGCGCGTTGCCGCAGCGAGGCCGCTCACTGGAAAGCAAACACGGCCGCGTCTGGCAGCGCCGGGCTTCTTGCGTAAACAGCGTCTCGTTAATCAGCCTCTGCGGCCGCAGTAAAGCAGGAAACATCTGAAAAATGCAGAAAATTCGGTGCCCCCCGCACTGCCTGTGTCCCTTTGCCAGCCCATCATCCTCGTGAACTGCCTTCTCCAAAGACAGCCCGACGAGCCACAAGCTGTTAATGACTCCGTAGGGCTTCCCCAGGCTGCACAATCTGCAGGAAGTCAGTGTGATAAATCAACAATCCTAGAAGTATAATCACAAAGGTCCAGAAAACAAAATGAAACTAAAGGCAGCGCCGAAAACATTCCCATCACTACAGAGTAATTAAATCACGCTGCTACTGCGAGGAGTCACAGAGAGGTGACTGTGCTCTTGTATTTTAATGTGAAACCAAATCATTGAAGAATGATGTTAAAGCATTCGGAATGAAGCTTTACTGCTGCTGAACGGATGATTCTTGCAGAACTTTAATTGTGAATTCAAGAAACTGAAAAGTAAACAAAATAAACTGTGAAAAAAAATGTTCATGCCAGAGGTCAGGAACATTTACGTTTAAATAATGGAACTTACATGTAAGCTAAATAGTCACCCCCTCACACACCCCACACACCCCAAAAGTAAAGGGAAAAAAAAAACATTTTTTTTTTCCTAATTCTGCGTCTGCCTGGTATCTCATCAGAATCACAATCTATCTTTACACCACTAGGTGGAAGCAGATCCAAAAGCAAATTTGCCCATTTTTAAGGCTGATTTAGTTTCATCAAAAATACACAGAAAGCAGAACAAATTAGTTACATTTTCTCCCTACATCTTATGCTAATATTTAATTTTGTTCTGTTTCAGATGTAGGTGAGTATCAGGAGCAGGTAATATGGTTATTGTACTATCTGTTTCTTCTGAAACAGTTAAGTATGAAATATTAATAAACATAATAACTATTAATTACACAAGCAAAGAGGCAAAGAGGGTAGTATATTGGGAAGTTTAAAATATCTCAATTTTTCCTTGAGTCACAGTCTCAGCTCCAGAAGAAATTAAGTGAGATGTTTGGAATTACTTCTTTTACTTTAAGGAATTCTTCTTAATTCAGTAGTTCTGAAAAGAGTTCAAAGATTTGGGGGAAGGGGAGAGGAGTTAAACCTGTGGGGTACTGTTTTCCAGTTACACTATGAATACAGGCCTTTCAAAAAGCAGAAGAAAAGAAAAGCCGAAAAAAAGCAAGTAAAGAAACAAAACAAAAACAAACAACTTGCAATTCATTCTTACTCCATATTTAACAATAAGAAATAGGATTTTTTTAATTAAGTAAAAGTCTCAGTGCAAAGCAGTTTAACTACTCTGACAGCATATTTTTAAAACTTGACAACACAGACACAGTTATACAAATGTACCTTGAACTAAGAATGTTTTTTGCTAATCCTGTCAAATGCTACGGAAAAAGGAATATTGTATTGTATATGCGGTATTTCATGTTGCTTAGATTA